GCAAAAATACATGTCACCAATGTGGAACACACTCAGATTTGTATAAAAGTACTGAACTAATATCCCAAAAAGAGGTATATGTAAGCAGTACATAAGGAAGAAATAGTTTTAATATGAAACAGTCATTTAAGTCACATACATCATGATAAGAAGCAGGACTTTCTTTTATAAAGGGTATTTTAACTAACAAGCAACATCATCTACATCACCTACAGAACAAGAAAAGGACAGGTATTTAGAATTTTAATTACAAATGTTTTTTGACAAAATATGACACAAGATGAAGCTTATCCATTGGGTTTCATTAAGTTTTCAATGAAAACTTCCTTCCCTTTACTTGCCTAGACCACTTCTTGGCAAATACTAATGCCATCCCTAGTTCCTTTACTCCAGGAGTGCCTCTAAGCTCCCATCACTGTACCAAGAGTTGGAAAAATACAGATGCAACTTCTATACTACTTTATAGGATAAATGGAATACAGGAAATGGGGAAGTTACTGAAATTTGGAAATGAGAAGGAAATCTCCGAGTTCTGAAGTAGAGAAAAATAGTGACAAGTCTCAAAGGAAACTGGGAAGCACTCTCAAGGTATCGATCTAATAAAATTACTGCTTTCTATGGTGCCTGAAATGTGGTTGTAGTGTCTGAAATCTAAGATATTAAGATTCATTCTGCATAAATTCTTTTAAAAAAGAGAAATTTAATCCCATGTTCTTCACTTTGTTCAAACTTATTGGAAAACACTTTCCCCTTAAAAATCTAGCCAACCACAGCCAACAAAGAAGTGTGAATTCTGAGGAAAGATATGAAATTTTGAAGTACAGAACATCCAGGAAGGGAAAAGGCAGGTTGGTTTCTAGAGCATGCCACTGGAGAATTTAGGATGGTAGGAGGGCAACTGGGAAACACTCACATCAAAGAACTTAACCTTCCTGTATCCAATCAGCAAAAAGGAAAGACCTCTCCTTTCTCCTTCCTACATTGATTGGTTCTCCTAAAGAAGGAGCACTCAGCATGATACTATTGGCTAACTATATGATGGTTTAAATAAGCCCTTATGAGCTTCCCTAAGAATCTAATCATCTTATAGAGAGTTCTAAATCACTATTTACAAATGAACATTGGGAATCTGGATGCTTTTAATTAAAAAGATCTTAAATAACAAAACACTCATGCAAAAAAGAAATCGAAAAACTCTCTTGAGCTCCCTTTAAAAATCATTGCTTATATATATATATATATATATATTTACTATTAAATACAATTACTATAGCATGTTGAATAGTAAGTACTAGCACTCAGTTTGTTCAAGACAAACAAATCTGGAAGAGTATTAGAAGAAAACTCCCGATATTTTACCTGGATGATTAAAGTCAGCAGATATCAGGATGACCTATTATTGCAGTTTTTTTCCTACCACTAGGAAGAGTTGGGAATCTAAACACATACACACACAAATTGGATTTCTTATATTGTGTTCATCTAAGAAGAATAAGCACTAGTACAAGAAAATCTTCAGTTTTATGTACATAATCTTCTAGTTTGGATATCAAGAATCATAATAGCAGTACTCTATTTCACACACAAGGAAAACACGGATCACAAATCTAATTCTAAGCACTCTATCTGAAGAATAATTTATTTTTCTTTTATAAGCTAAATTATTTCTGTATTAGTGAGTCCAGTAGCATCTAGAAGCAAGTGGTTCAAGAATTCTCTAGTGAAATGAAGAAAGCAAGTTCTGAGAAAGGAACTGATGTTTTAAAACTTTCTAAATCAGTAACCTAGTCTTGTTGAGGGAGCCAGCTGCTGATAGACAGGCTGAACTCTGGCAAAACTTGAGAATGTAGGAGAAACCCCAAGATTTTCTACTCAACTGAACCTAAGTGTGTCCTTGTGTATATGTGTGCATGTCAGATGAGGTCCTTTCAGTAATGGAAGAGGATTATGCTAAAAAAGGTGTGATGTTACTAGAAGATTAGGCATTTCATTCCCTCTTTAAATATTGTGAAATTTAGGGCAACTCATCACTTGCATTATGAAAGCCACATCAATTTGTGTAACAGTCTTCTTTGAGTCATGTTAGGCAAATTAATATCTGGCCTTCTTAAAGTTCATCACTTCCCTACCAAAAAGCCTCTAGAAAACTTTTGACAGTGTTTTACAGAGACAAATGTAGAACTAGTAAGAAAATTAAATCAAATAGATGAAAACATTCGTCAGTTATGATTACAGTTTGCCTGTAATTCATTGTTGGAATCAACCATGGTTTTTTTCTCTTTTAGATATTTGACAGATTCGTATCTAAGTAAGGTGTTCTTAAGAACTAAACACAAGAACAAATTCACTTATTTGTAAAAGTTTATAAACAATTATTTGGAAATGGAAAATAAAAGTCATATTATAAATCAAGTATTTTTAGACTAATTTGAGAGAGGTTATTTCCTTTCCACAAAACAACTAACTAATAAAACTGTAAGCAACAGAGGGCCTTAGAAACTGCTTCTCACCAGTTTTAGCAATGAGCACAACGAGTACTACTGTGTTAACTCCTGAGGACACTGGAAGGTTCTACTCAGTATCTAACTGTACTTGGTCATTTTTTTTTTTTAATCACCATCTGATGCTACAACTGGGTTTATAGCATGCAGTGCATTATATCTTAAAAAACAGCACTCACTGGGATTTCAAAAACAACACAACTAGATCCTTAAACATTTAGAAAATAACAAAAGCTACAATGTAAGCAAAACATGATCTTCAAGTATGCTACTGAACAATCAAATGTCAAGAGTCAGCCCAATGTACTGCATTTTAATCTGCTTCAACTGGTTAAATTTTCACACAAAGGAGTACCTAGTTTATATCATTTAATTTCCTAAAACTATAAAGATATTTATCTTACCACTATACTTAAAATATTTTGTACTCACCTCTAACTAGTCACAGGTAAATGGAAAAAACCTTATATTGCTTTGTACCATATGAAATTGCTGTTTTTGTTGGTCACAATTAAAACACTATTTAAAAAAATAAGTTTTATTCAATCAAAATACACATCATGAACATTAATAATTTTCTTCTAATAGGATATTAAATATTTCATTTTTATAAAATTCATCATTTGCTATGTTGTATAAATTGTTCAAACCCTCCAATTACTATTTCTCAATTGGAGAATATGTAGTTTCTTAGAAAAAGCTCTAAACGATGAAAACTACATCAGTTCATTGGATAAAGTTCTGGTGACTATGCTGGAAACGACAGAATCGAATAATTCAATTAACTTTGTGTTAGTGGCTTGTGACATGTGATGCCAGTGCTATCACGTAAGAGTCGGTTCATGTTTACTAATCCAAGGGCATATAATCAAGATTTTCAAGCATAATTTAAGTTTCTTGGCAATACTGCTGCTGCTGTCATTTCACCAAGCTTTAAATGGCTGTCACTATCCCTTCTGCAGATCACCACACAGTCTTCAGATATGGTCACAACAGTAATGATGGTTCAAGTTTGGGAGCTTTACCAACATCCAACTATTGTGTAAATTGCTATCAACTAGAATCCTTTTTTGGGGTCACAGGTTTTGATCCACTCCAAAAACAGGTTTCTGATGTTTCAAATCTTAATTAGTATACGCCCAACTGTCTCCATTCTGTCTCCATTCTTGATCTTCTCTCAAGAGAATACCTTTAAGTCTATTTTTACACTCTCCCCAGCCCCAGCAGAAACTTGTGTCTCCCGCAGGGCCTCAAATGGTTGTGAGTAAGCTCTCACCTTGACTCTTAATTGATCTTCACTTAAAATGGATTCTGAATTCCTGTGAGGCTCATTTTTAAATTCAGATCCCAAGAACAAGATTTCTCAAACCACCACTGAGCAGTTCTTCTGCCAGCAAAGCCCTGTAAGGCCAAATTCATTTTTCTATGTCCCAGTTTGAAAGGATATTAAGAAAAGTATTCGCAATTCTTCTGAGAATACTGTATTATTTATTTCTCTGGAAAACAATAACAACTCAATAATCAAGGAAAACTGAAGCGTGAAGAGCATAATATTGCTATATTTCTAAATAGCACAACTAAAAACACCCTTTATGACAACTCTACTAACTGTAGTCAATTTTCAACTGATCTTACATTAGCAATTTCATGTGGTACAATCCACAAGTTAATCAACAAATACGTATTGAACATCTACTATATGCTAACATCTGTCTTGTACCTGTACAAACAGACATCCTGGAAAGACTGACTTGGTAATATGAAAGTCACTAATTTCAGGGACACCAGTAAGGGAGGAATCTGGTGTCATACTCTACTGTTTGTTAGAAGATCCATAAAAATGTATGCTTTCATGTTTTAGTTACATATAATCTTTCTGAAAACACGTTACATGGATTCTCAAATATTCTTTGAACTAAATGTTTAATTTGATATTGCCAAAGTTCAGCACTGAAATACACTTGACCCTTGAACAATGTGGGAGCTAGGGTGCCAATCTCTTCACTGTCAAAAAACTGCATACAACTTTAGAGTCAGCCCCCCAAAACTGTGTTTCCCTATCCTAGGATTTAACCAACCAAGGATCATGTAGTACTACAGTATGCATTTACTGAAAATCAGTGGACATGTGCAGTTCAAATTTGTGTTGTTCAAGGGTCAACTGACACATTTTTCAATGACTGTAACTTTTAAAAAAGTAAAAACTTGCCTACGTTTGCTATACATTATCTTGAAGCTTCAAGAGGCTTTCATGTTTAACAACAACTAAAATTTACTTGTATAGTACTTTCTAATGCACCCCCATATACATTATTCTTATTTACGATAGCAAACAAGACAATACAAAATACGCACTAGCAATGGAGTATTAATAAAAACTAAAAGGTAAATAATCTTTTCATGTATGCATTTAAAAAATTATGTAAAACATTAAAATCCTACGTCACAGACCCTCTGTAAATACAGAGGGTGGGAAAACACCGAAGTGAATGCCTGTTATTAGGCATCACCGCCCACTGCAGGGGGACCGAATGTTTCTCTAGTGCGCATTAACTGGACATCTTTGTCAGCCATACAGGTGTCACAGCCCCACACTGCGGACGCTTCTGCTGTTAGGAGGCCATAAGCTGTTTCGGTCATTCCAGTGCAGATCCGATGAAACCATTTCTGACAAGAGGCTTCACACAGGATGGCATCCTGATCATCATTCACTTCATTCGTACAAATTCCACAAGGATACACTGGGTCAGAAGAAGAATGCCCGTGACGGCTGGGGTGGAGAGCAGACTTAGCGCTCTTCTCGGCTGTGCACGTAACATCCGTGGCACCTCGAGGCTGTCGTGGTTTACTCTGGGTCCCGTTTGCGTGGCTGCTGTTTGTAGCTTCGGCGCTACTCGAACGGCTGTTCTCTTGACTGACGACATTGTTTCGATTCACATTTTTTAATTCAATATTACTCTGATTCACTGTGTCATCCATGTTTAAGTGAGGTGGATGAGCAGAGGAGTTTTGATTTGTGTTTTTGGTAGCTCCTTGACTAAAGTCTTGTTTTGGGGGTGGTGCTTTTGCTTGACCAAAAGTGTTTGGGGGAGGAATAAAAGAATGATTAGATTCTAAAGGAGAACTAAAATTGGAATTACTTCCAGGGACAAAGTTAGATGCCAAGTCAGGGTTAGATACTTGGCTAGCATTCTGCGGAGGAATCTGATTGAAGTTTTCAGCAGGATTTTGTCTAAAATGTTGATTAGGCATGTTAACATTCTGAGTCAGTGCATTATTGTAAGATGGATTTCCAAAACTTGAATTATCATGTGGCCCAAAGTTAAAAGCATGAGGTCGATTAAAACCCATGCCCAAAGGATTCTGAGGAAATGGGTGTGGCTGATTCCTGAGTGAGTAAGGACCACAGTATGGGGAAGACATTCTTGGAGGAACGTGAGGTGGCATTCTGAATGTGCTGTAGCCTCCAAAGCCAGGATAACCAGGGCCAAGATACGGATTTGATGAAGGTAGTGGTTTATAGGAAATAGTATTGTAGTTGTCATCAAATGGATTAGCAGCCACTAGATGGTCAGAGTTTGGATTCGGTGGCGGAGCATACTCAGACAGTGGAGGAAAAGAAGGCCCCTGAAACGAGAATATAAAGTGAAATACATGTTTTTGATCAAAGAAGTCATAAATATTAACATTTATGAACCCAGTTTTAGTTAAATTTCTTTTGAACTGTTATGAAAATTTAATTCTTCACTTAACCTTTCAATTGCAAATAATGTTTATATTTAATTATATTTGATGATAAAAATGTGTAGGTTTCTTTCATTTAGGAAAGGAAATATGGTATTTTTTTTTGAGCTCAAATCAATTATTTCAAACTCTAGATGTATTCAGTCTTCAAAAGAAGCTTCATTACTATAATTTTCATTTAATATGCTAGCCTACAACTATAATCTTTCATTTAAAATTCTAACTAAAAAGACCTTTACACCTCTAAATGGCTATAAAATTAAATAACAGTAAATAGAACCTAAATTTTTTTCCTGGCTAAACTTCAGGGAGTAGCTACTGAAGTCCCAAAGCACTACGTTCTAGACCTCAGACTAGAAAAATAAACTGCCAGCTTTAGTCACACTGCAAGTTTAACAGTGTAGCCAAAATGGAGAAAAGTAATGTGTACACACTTCATACTCACTTGCAGTCTTTGTAACAAAAAGAGTGCTTCAAATTTATAGAGGATAAAACCAAGAAAGTATTTATAAATGTTTATTACGACCAAAGGTTATAGACAAAAGATGCTTTTTGCTTCATGTTATGTACATACATGCTGATTTATTATACTAGCTGAACATTACTCCAGGTTAAACTTGTGTCCATATATTTTAAAATCTTTTCATAAAACTACAGGCATCTATTCCTTTGAAGTTAGATTTAACAATAAGCATTTTAATTTATTTGCCTACATTTCCTTCTTGGAGTACTCACTCTAGGCCTACAGTCCAATAATAGCCATGAGCTGCAGAGTAAAAACTAAATAAATAAATAAAAATACAATCACGGCAGAATTTACTACTAGTTCAGAATGAGGATAGTAAACAAAATCCATAACCAAAGTTAAATTTACCTCATAGTGTGATCTTATCAGTGAAGAAAAACTGTTAACAAAGAAAATGCCAATTTACCTGAGTATTTGCCTTGCGTTTTTTCTTATCTGGGCTTCCTAGTTGCACACCTGGTCCTCCTAACCCATCCAGTCCACTATCACCACCTAAAAATAAGTAAATACATTCAAATAATATTTCTATTCATAAGTGAAATTTTATATCTTTCATACCATTATCAGTTCAGTTCACTCAGTCGTGTCTGACTCTTTGCAACCCCGTGAATCACAGCACGCCAGGCCTCCCTGTCCATCACCAACTCCTGAAGATTACTCAAACTCATGTCCATCGAGTCGGTGATGCCATCCAGCCATCTCATCCTCTGTCGTCCCCTTCTCCTCCTGCCCCCAATCCCTCCCAGCATCAGGGTCTTTTCCAATGAGTCAACTCTTCACATGAGGTGGCCAAAGTATTGCAGTTTCAGCTTCAGCATCAGTCCTTCCAATGAACACCCAGGGCTGATCTCCTTTAGGATGGACTGATTGGATCTCCTTGCAGTCCAAGGGGCTCTCAAGAGTCTTCTCCAACACCACAGTTCAAAAGCATCAATTTTTCGGCGTTCAGCTTTCTTCACAGATACCATTATAGCTACCTGTTAATATGTTTTCTATTTTTATTAGATAAAAGTAGTATTAAGCTTTTATTATCTTTGTTCTTCAAAAAGTCTTCCTCATAATCTCAGCCAGAGTCATTAACTTCTACTCCCACAGCATTGTTTTTTGTTTTTCTTTTTTCAGTGAAAAAGTAAGTCTCTATACTACCCTCAAACCTTCAGTCATCTGGTTTCCTATTCCTGAAGCAAACACTGTTGCTAGTTTCTCTCCATCTTTCCAAAGATAATCTAGATTAATTCTAGTGTATCTCTAGGGAGTACAAAAACAATGGCATGTTTAGTATGGAACAATGGTTTGAACCTTGTTCTTACTTGGAGATCATTATGTGCCATTACATATAGAACTGCTCCATTCTCCAACAGCTGAGTAGTATTTCACAGTATGATTATACCATAATTCATTAAACTGGTCTTCTCCCTATTGACAGAATTCAATTGTTTCCAAACCTTTGCTGTTCCGCAATGAAAATCCATGTACAAATGTCTTTATACTCATGTACAAGTCATCCCTAGAACTAGAATTATGGCATCAAAGGTATATGCCTTTTAATTCTGAAAGGTATCGTCAAAATACAACAATGAATGTGGGCATGATTTTCTCAATATGATCAAATAAAAGCAAAAGCTTGACTATGTTAAAAAGTAAGTTTATCAATGGAAATTTTTTCCATTAAAAAAGCACATTTTTTAATTATAGAGAATTCTGAACATATACAAAAGCAGACAGAATAAAATTATGTACACATATATGTAGCCATATAATACATATTTATAATAGATTAATAAATAAATTCAATGGGTTGACAGAAGATTATAGGAGACTTGCTCATACATGTGGATTCTAAGAAAGAGATAAACTGAGACCTAAAAGATGACAAGAAATCTCTCATGTGAAGAGCAGAACAATAAGCCTGTCTGCAGAGAATAAATAAGAAAGGAGCATGAATGTGTCTGAGACATTTAAAAGAGGCCAGTGTGTTACAGGCAGGCCTCTGGAGAGTGCCTTCAGAAGAGGCTGAAGAGACAGGCAGGGACCAGATCGTTTTAAAGTGTTATGGACTGATTGCTGTATCCCCCGCCCAATTCCTACACTGAAGCTCTAACCCTAATTTGAGAGTGTATGGAGATGAGGGGTTTGGGAGGTAATTAGGGTCATACTAGGTCACAAGGGTGGGTCCCTTATAATGGGATTAGTGGCCTTGGAAGAAGAAAAAGTGATTGTCCTTTCTCTCTCTCTCCTGTTCCCTTCCTTCACCCCTCATGTATATGCTGGGAAAGACCATGTGAGAACACAACAAGAAGATGGGCATATACTTACAAGCCAGGAAGAAAGCTCTGACCAGGAACTGACAAACTGGCTGGCACCTTAATCTTGGACTTCCTAGCACCAGACTGTGAGAAAGCAAATTTCTGTTGTTTAAGCCAACTAGTCTATGGCGTCTTGCTATGGCAGCCCAAGCTGATTGAGATATAGAGCCCTGTACTTTATGATAAGGAATCAGGATTATATTTGGAGAACAGTGAATGATCATTTAAGAATTTCAAACAGAAAAGTAACACGATTTGGTGTTTTTAAAAGATTACATTAGCATTTGTGCTGAGAATAAATTGGTGATGAGAATGGGGTCAGAGCACGGAGACCTGTAATGATATCTTTACAACAGTAGTTCAGGGAAAGAAATGGTACATGGCAATAAAGAGAAATTAGCATGCTGGCAATAGTACCACACATAACAAAACGCAAAGCAGATTTCTGTAAGGGCTATTTAGGACAAGTTTAAATACTGTGGAGGTAAAAACTACGACAAACAATAACAAAATTTTAGTAAGGATTCTGAATGTTAAATTAATATTTAAACACCAAAAGCTTTCATATATAAAAACCACAACTAATTAAAAGATAAAGTAGAAGAAAAGTTTTCATTTTCAGGAACAAAACTAAACTAAAATAACTAGCAATAAATTTAAGAAATGCGCAAGACCAGTATGAATAAAAACTTTTTAAAAGCCCTACTGAGGAACAAAGAGGAAGTCTTCTAACAAGTGGAAAGGTACTCCCTGTTCTGGTTAGCCATCTAGAACAAAATAACACTGTTTCTCTTTAGAGCACATATTATCCCAGATAGCCTGGTTGTGCCCTCCTCAGAGACATCAGCACTGAGTCACTACTCCCATCCTCTAACCCCACAGGCATTTATACCAGCCTAAGCAGCAAGCACCCTCTTCTCAGAGACCGGAGTTTAAACTCCACAGGGTCCCTCTTGAGAGTGGACATATTTTTATAATTCCATGTCTTTCCTATGTCCTACAGTCATGAGGACATGGGGAGCTTCTTCCCGCAGTTGTTACCTCTGTAACATCTTTAGTATTCCATGTTGCCAGTTTAACATCTGTTAGCAATACTTTATATCAAATTCTTTACAATAATTGGTATGGTTTCTGCCTCCTGACTAGACCCTGACTCATACACAGCTCAAACCCTACCAGCCAGAAACTATCATTACTTCTAAGTTAACATCAGTCCAGACTTTTAGCTTACTATCTACCTACCTACTTTCACTCCCGTGTATAAACAGTGACAGTACTATCTTTACAAAAATGGGATATTTTTAAATAACAGCATTAAATGTTAACTTATTCAAATTCAATAAGGAAAAACAAACAAGTTAAAATGATGAATATGCTAAATGTTTCTTCATCAAAAGAGAATTCTCTAAGGCTAAAACATCAATAAAAACATTAAATAAAAAACATTAAAAACATGGTTTTTCTTTACATAATGTTGACACTTCCTCCATTGAAAGTTGATAACTGTATAAATTTTACTTTTTCCTTTTTGTCCTGTAGGTTATGGTTTCTTCATCTTCTGCATGCTGTTTTTCTTATTCTTTTCTATATGTGTTAGTTCATTAGTTTGCTATACTATGTCTGAGTAATTATCATGCTTTTATTTTTACCTTGTAACTTTGCCCAGACCTTTTAAGCTCTGATTTAATGTGTGACTTTGAATCCCTTCTATTCGTATCTAAGGTTGTTTGCCTGGCTTATGTGGTTTTCTTGGCTTAGGTGGTATATATCTAATCATATGATGTTTTTCCTTTACATTATTTTAATGTTAAACCTAGCCTGACATTCCTAGAATAAACTCAATATGAATGTTACATTTATTAGACTGGATATTCTCTTTAAAATGTTTGCCTATCTTAATAAGGTTATTAACCTATCGTGTTTCCTTGAAACATCCAGGCTCTTAATTTTGAGGTTTTGTTAAATGCATATCTACCTATTTGTAGGGTGAAGTAACCCACTCACATTAGAGTATTCCCTTGTGTTGTCTTATTCACCTTGTATCCCTGAAGACTTCTTTTCTCTCAGACAGTCCTTTAAAAACAACAACAAACCTGTTTTACTCGTTTTTTTCCTCACTCAAAAAAGCGAGACAATAAGAACACTCATTTAATTTACTTTTCTCCAGACTTGGGGTTACCAGTGAGAATTCTCAAAATTTTGTAAGTCACCAACAGCTCCCAAGAAGAAGGGGTTGTTTTAGAAGCCTAAAACAGCAATCCAGATTTCAGCCTGTTCCAGATGTTTGTTACTGGGCTGTGCCACTTCCCTTGTTTGTTGCCGACATTTTTTGCCTTTTTTTTTTTTTTAACTGTTTTGGTTCATTTCACTTGAAATTTAAGAAAAGACTCTGTAGTTTTGTTCTAGCATCTTATCTTAGAAGTTTCTATCTAACTATATCTATGTTCCTTCACTTAATCTTCATAACAAACCCCTGAGGAAAATCATCCTCATTTTAAAAAAGAAACAAAGAGAAATGAAATTGTAAAGGTATGGGCCATACCTCTGGTAAAAAGCAGCTCTGAAATCTGAAACTAGGATTTGTTTTCTTTTGCTTTTAGGTGTGCAATTCAATGGGTTTTTGTTTTGTTTTTAGCATATTCACCACCACCAAGCAGTGTAACTATCACCACTATTTAATTCCAGAACACTATCATCATCCCGAAAAGAAACGACATACCTGTAGCCATACAATATGTGGCTCTGTGTTTGGCTTCTTTCACTTAGCATAATATTTTCAAGGTTCAGCCATGTTATTTTATGTATTACTACTGCATTCCTTTTTATGGCTGAAAACATTCCACATTATTTTTATCCAGTCATCAGTTGGTGAACATCTGGGTTGTTTCTGAAACTATGAATAATGTATTTATGTACACGTTTTTTAATGAATGTGTATTTTCAATTCTCTTGGGTATACACCTAGGAGTGGAGTTGCCGAGTCATGATATCTCTACGTTTAACATTTTGAGGACACATTAAGCTATTTTCTACAGTGGCTGCATCATTTTACGTTCCCCACCTCTGAAGTCTGAGGGTTCTAATTTCTTCATATCCCCCCCAAGATTTATTTTATTTTTTTAATTTTAATAGTGATTTTAATGAGTGTGAAGTATCTCCTCATGCCTTTAATTTGCATTTCCAAAA